GTTCACAGCCTGGCACGTATATTTGTAAAATCTAAGTGACTCGTACAACATGGAATTCATATAAAACGGAAAAATCAACAGTGTTATAGGGGGGTCGACTGGTATCTCACTTCCGAACTAAGGAAAGTTCAATTTCCTTTCTCATATTTCTTATCTCAAAAGTTTTAGTCACCAAACTAAAGTTCAACCACTCTGAATATTAATTACGCGTCAGGAAAACCTAGGGTCAAACCGTATGTGGGTGGTGGCGGTAGGAGACAAAGATGACAAGTGTCCTACACGAAACCGTTTATTTTTAACATAAAGTTAACTTACATAACAGTAATAACATAGAAAATTCGATCTAGATCTTTCCGCTGGGGAGCTCCCGATGTCGGTGGATGAGTGAAGGCTGGGGTGGCGTATCCCGGGTCCTTGATAGATGAGTGTCCGTTGTACAGGAGGTGACTCTGACGGGCGATGCTGCGGATGGACGGAGATCTTGGCCCACTGGTGGAAATACTGGTCCAGAGGAGAACTGCGGAGAATAGGCCTACTACTTAATTTTTAGAAACTCTTTTTGAATTTCTTGAAATCGCCACTCTTCTCAATTCTTCAATCTCTACTTTCTCGCAAAAAATATTCCGTTATGTTTAACGGTAAAATTTCTAGTATATATATGTGTTATTAATTTAATAAATTTTCAGATGTTGAAGAATTTCCGTGTGCAGTTTCCAAATGAAGATATAAATTGCGTAATGAGATTGCAACTTGTTCCCGATCGACCATTATTATTTCGATTTATTGATCGATCGTAATCAATAAAGATTTTTTAAAGCACAGCATTAATTTTAATTTTGGATATATGAGTACTAAGGTTTGGCTCTATAGAGGACTTATCACACTATTGACGTTTGTCAGAGTAATCAAACAGTAACAGGTGAACAGAGTTTTATTATAACTACCGTATGCATTTCGGGCAGTCTTATTATCTGTGCTCGTTACACTTTGGTGGGTTTACAGGACTAAAATACAAACGGTATTACGTTACAAAACAATGATTAATGATTAAAATAGTTTAAAAGTACAATTTATACATACTTAAATGGTACATTATATTTGTTGCCAAAATGTGGATATCTTTANTTCCATTTTATATGAATTCCATGTTGTACGAGTCACTTAGATTTTACAAATACGTGAGCTGTTCACAGCCTGGCACGTATATTTGTAAAATCTAAGTGACTCGTACAACATGGAATTCATATAAAACGGAAAAATCAACAGTGTTATAGGGGGGTCGACTGGTATCTCACTTCCGAACTAAGGAAAGTTCAATTTCCTTTCTCATATTTCTTATCTCAAAAGTTTTAGTCACCAAACTAAAGTTCAACCACTCTGAATATTAATTACGCGTCAGGAAAACCTAGGGTCAAACCGTATGTGGGTGGTGGCGGTAGGAGACAAAGATGACAAGTGTCCTACACGAAACCGTTTATTTTTAACATAAAGTTAACTTACATAACAGTAATAACATAGAAAATTCGATCTAGATCTTTCCGCTGGGGAGCTCCCGATGTCGGTGGATGAGTGAAGGCTGGGGTGGCGTATCCCGGGTCCTTGATAGATGAGTGTCCGTTGTACAGGAGGTGACTCTGACGGGCGATGCTGCGGATGGACGGAGATCTTGGCCCACTGGTGGAAATACTGGTCCAGAGGAGAACTGCGGAGAAGCGGCTGAGAATCTCTCCTCTGTCCTTGAGATTCGGGGGTTTTATAAGATTTTCCCCGAATTTCACCCTTTTGATTAGTCCCGTTCACCCTCTCCCTTACCCCGATTGGTCTTCTTCTTCTTGTGTCGATTCCGGCCATCTTTGGACCACGTACAAACAACTAATTATGACTTGCTTTTCCCTCTTCCCTTCCCTCTGTTCTTCTTCCTTTCTTTCCAATACCTCTTCATTCTCTCGCTCTGCTGTTGTCTTTGCTCCTGAGTGAAGAGTCTTCCACGTCTGTTATTTTCCTTTTCCTGAAAACCCTTGAAGTTCTTTATTTTGTTTCTAAACCTTTCCCTGTTCTGGATAACTTCTGGATATGGTCATTCTTTTGTTTCTAGGCGAAACTTGAGACCGATCCGTGTCGGGAAAAGGTCGGAGAGGTGATGATAGGGCTTTTAATGTTCGCGCTCGTAATTTTCTCCGTTATGGCCCTTCTCTCGGACATCTTTGGACTTAAACGGTCCACCAGATGTTCTTATGGCCATTTATTCCCTACAGCGTTCGGACTTAACAGATGTCCCTTTTGTTCTTAGACCCCCTCCTTTTTCTCGATTGCTTCGACCCGACACTTGTTCGCGAGCATCTCGACAAAGCCCTTTCTCTCTGTCGACATTCCCCCCTGTTGTTTATCATCGCGTCGCGTTTGTTTTACAATTCGAGAATGTTTTCGTCCTGGGTTCTGTCATTAACACACCCTCTTGACCCGATTCTATCTTCGAAACTTTTCCGACGTAAAAGTTTGTAATTAGTCGCAATTTCGACGCGCTTTTACGACCCTCACACTATATCTAGGCTGGTATCAGGAAAAACAAATTCCGGGGTTTGTTACGAACTTCTGTTCTTTATCTAAAGTCTAAGGAAGCCATCCTTTGACGTTGCGAGCCAATCTCAACGATTAAGTGACATAGAGCCCAAATTAAAGTTATTCTATGCTCCCAGCTCCTCACATACGTATTTAATAAACTAATATGTTCAAAAATATAAGATAACTTAACATTATATTGTTCTTTTAAGCACAATTGTTAAGAGTAAAGATAATACACTGTATTTTAATTCATGTAAAAAATAGACCAGCAACGAGTTGCTCAAATTTCCCGGCAACGTTTAACATTTTGATGGCTCCATCTCTTTCATACTTAGTTAAAAATATAATGATTTTAATAATTAAAAATGGGCAAAAAGCTTAATTTTGAAGGTAGGGATGAGTTTTATAAAAAAAAAAAAATTAAATGCTAATAACGAGTAAAATCGTCATTAAGTCCAACCCTACTGGAAATACAGGACCCCATTATCTTTCCACTCCATCGACCTTTAACCACCAAAATTTAACAGAACTAATCCCCCTAACAGATAAATTTCCCTGCAACATTTCAGAAATTTTCGACAAAAATAATAGGAGTTATTAAGCTTCAAACAGGTTGAACAAAATCGTGCTCCCATACACACTAACATCAATACATACAGAAATTACCCCTGAATGTTTTTGCATTTCTCCACGATTGAGCTCAAAAATCTGGAGGTGGAGTCATTTTTGCCGGATTGCCCTAAATACGTTAATGATTTTAGACGGATACGACGAGATTCTCGATAAAAATTCCATCGTACAGTTCATTCAAGAAGATTCGTTTGACGATTCTTGTTATCAATCGTCCACAAGTTGCAGAAGAATAAAGAAAATACATGGATCTAAGATTCTGCATCGAAGAATTTACTGCAGAAGAACAAGTAAGATACATTGGGAGAGTTTTTAGAAAAGGGCATGGCATAGGAGATAATATTCTTACACTAGTAAATGGTAACAGTTTTATTCCACGTTTGCAGAATGTTCACTGATGTCACATTTGTTGTGTTGTCTTCATAGAATTACACGTTGAAACTATAGAACGATAGATTTGTATATCGATATTCTTTTGCAATGCAGTGATATCCATGATGATAATTCTCTTCTTTCAATACAGTCGACCCCCCTATAACACTGTTGATAATTCCGTTTTATATGAATTCCATGTTGTACGAGTCACTTAGATTTTATAAATACATGTGCTTGGCTGTGAACGGCTCACGTATTTGTAAAAATCTAAGTGACTCGTACAACATGGAATTCATATAAAACGAAATTATCAACAGTGTTATAGTGGGGTCTACTGTACAGCAGAAATATGTAAGATGAAAAATTTTTCAGATGGAAACAAAGAAGTTGCAATAAGATTCCATTGTAAAGCTGTAGAAAATAATTTTTTCTTAATTTCTCAACATTTCTTTTATCATTTGAAATCTTATATTAAATTATTTAACAATAAATATGCTGAAATAAGCTTTGAAATTCTAACTTTTAACACGTTTCGTCCGAAAATAGTGATTTGGAGGAGGATTCGAATGGTATCATGATTCACTGATTACTTGCTGACTATTTTTGCTACGATGAAAATGAAAAACTAAGTGTTTTGTATTGTTAATTCAAGTACAATGTATATTAATAATTACACAGTACTTTTACTCTTCCGGCTGTTATATATAACAGAAGGAAAGTATGGCGATCGGTCAAAAAATCATCCTCAAGAAGCTTAACTCCTATGTCTTTTGTCTATACTTTCTGAAATTTTGTAGGGAGGTTAAAGTTTAAGTGGGTGGAAGATAAAGGGGTCATGTGTCATATCTCGAGTGGTGTCAGACCTTACGCTTAATTACTAATATTCGGTGATGTTATCCACTTCAGGCATTTGCGATTAATTTCAAATATTTCTTACGTTCAAAATTCCCCGTACGTTAAAAAATAAATACTATTGGCTAGAGTTAAGAATAAACTATCAAAAGTATATAATACATTTTTAAAAACTTGTTATACGTGCAATGATTTAGCAGCTGAGTCGCAGTTTTGAAAGGTCATATCAATGTTACTAATACGAGTGTTGACAAACTGCTGATGTTGAGTTAACGTTAATTAGTGAAATACTTCTAAAAACAGAAAAAAAGGTATATTTTCACAGTTTTTTTGTATATTTTTACTCACAAATTTTATGTTTCACATCAGTGTTTACTTGTAAACGATATTCGAAGTAAAGGTCATATAGCTTCTCAGGTTAGATTTTTCTTTAATAACATCTGTATTTTTCAATAGAGATTAAGTAATTTATACTTCTTACTAAGATTAATTACTTAAATCTGTCCTTAATAACCTAAAGTTTTTCTACTTAGATTTATTGTTGTATTAATTAATATTGTCACTTACCGTAACTAAAATAACACCTCCAAACGTGACAGGAATTGTATTAATAGTACCTGCATCCAGTGCCGTAAATAGGACGGTGCTAACGGTGCCCAGGCACTGGGCGCAGAAATGACCTAGACCACGTTTTGGGTCATAGTTTTGGGGCGTAGTTACAGAAGCTCGCACTGGGCGCATAAAAGGCTAGTTACGCCGCTGCCTGCATCTGATGTATTTCGAAAATATTACTTGAATGAGAAATATTTTTATCATGATAGAATTCGGAAGAAATGCAATTTGAAGATATGAAATCGAATTAAATACCTCAAAATCAGAATATTGATCACGAAGCAATATGGATAACATACAGGTAAGTATGTTATTTTTAATTCAGATTTTCTGACCGTTAAAGATTAAGTTAGCTGCTCAACCATTTCTCTCATTAATAGGGTTTTGTCCTCCTCCTATTCAACAGTAAGACACTACATCAGCTTCTATTAATAGTGGGGATATTAATTTAAATGGAAGTATCATATACATAAATTACAGTGTACTTTTTTTGAAAAAGAAACACTTGAAGAGACATTGCTTGTAAGTAACAAATTATCTTCAAATCTTTAATAAAGAATGATCACTACATGCAGTGCCGTAACTAGAGCGATGCCCAGGCATAGGGCGCAGACCCTGGGGGCGCAGAAATGACCTGGACCAAGTTTTGGGTTATAGTTTTGGGGCGTAGTTACAGAAGCTTGCACCGGGCGCATAAAAGGCTAGTTACGGCGCCGAGTACATGCTATTACAAAATAGAAGAGATGGCCAAGCAGTTAGGATGGCAGCCTGGGAGATCCGTGATCGAATCCGGATGGTTCGAATAAACATCCAGGATATTTTCTAAGATATGTCGGTGCCAATCACCACCTGTCGACCCTATTATTGGCCTATACGAACTTATGCTTCGCCTTCTAAAATGGCTACGTTAGTGCACACAGGATGGAAGGAGTTTAAAAAGTATACAGTGTGGGGTCTGTGAATTTGGTAATTGTTTTTGCATTTATAAATAAAATTGAAGACAGTCTGCCCAAAAGGGACCACCATTTATTATTTCTGTGTTCCAGACAATACACATTCTTGGCAACAGACCTTTCCTTGTAGGCTTTGCATTTATAAGGTTTGCATTATAAACTGAATGTATTGATAAAGTATGTGCTTGAATACACTTAACTTTTACTATAATATACTTGCTGTAATTACCGCTATAACCGTGTAAACCAGTTTTATTTTTTTCCCTGTTTTCTTCAGGTTCTATTTTACACGGGTTTTACTGTATAATATCCGTTTTTAAAGTATAAAAGTGACTTTATACTTTATTTAATGTATGGATTAGGTACTACTGACAATTTAGGTTTCATTTTATTGACCTAGAAACTGTTTGTTGCCACTGCGATACTATAGTGCATAAAAAGTCACTACGTCGCCGTAGCCTAATGGAATTTTGTTACTATTGTTGCACAAATTGGTGTCGACAATATCAAACAAGCAGATATCAATTGTTTAGAGTATTTTTAGAAAAATCCGCAATGAGACAGACAATGCGCTAGTTATGCAAGGCAACACTTTTATTAAACGGCTACTTTAGTTCCATGTTAGAACACTTTTTAACTGTCTTTTGCTACTATTACAGATGCAAACATGCAAATAACGGATTAGAATAGATGGATTTTGACAGTTAGATAATGGAAAATTATTGTTTTGAATAGATTTTTAGTTAACAAGAATAGAATTGCAACGTCAAAGTTTTTCTAATATATGTACATTTTTAATTTGTAAGTAATACAGCAAAACAAAGCAATCAGCAATGTTTTTGGGAACCGAATGCTTAATTAAAGTCAAACAGCCTTAGTGTATTGTTTTTGAAAGGAAAACAAGACGGGATTTTCGATTTTGTGTTCATTGGCTCAAAAATATCCATGCGTACAAGTTACAACTGTACTAAGTGAAAGGAACTTTTCAAACGTTGAAGAACTTATCAGTAAATGTGCCCAACAGTAGCCAAACGGTCTTCGTACCCTGAACACTGGGAGTTCAATTGTGGGTTCGCGCCTCGCTCGGACGGTCTGGCCACGTGGAGTTTTCCAGATTTTCTCCACGTCTGTAACGCCTAAATAGGGGCCAGTTTCCTTATTTTCTTAAAAAGACCCCCCCCAAGGCAGATCTCCCAAGTGTTGCGTTGCCAAAACTTATCAGTAAAATAACATTACTAATGATAGAAGCTATCGTTTGATGAACCTCTTCATCTTTTTTTTCTACTCCCCTTCATCGTTTCTATCTTTAATTTTTTACTCCCCTCTATCTTTATCTCCTCCATTCACAGCCCTCCATCTTTAATTCTTCCTCTCTTTATCTCCTCCATTCACAGCACCCAATCTTTAATTTCTCCCTTTCCTTTATCTCCCCCTCTTAAAGTCTTTTCATCTTTAATTTCTCCAACTCTTTCTCGTATTTAGTAACGAAACGTCTACCTTAATTAATGTATAAAGTAAGGTTAGGGTGTCATTTTAACGTTATTATACTAGTAAGTATCTATATTTTTTGCACTAATTAACACCATATCTGTATTTTTGAATGCAGCAAAATAAAGCATCTTCCTTCATTTCTGTTTCTAATTTCGTACCCATTTTGTATTTGTAAAGGAGATGGTGGCAAATGTAGTCCGAAAATCAATGATGTTCAAAGATAAAGTTGCTAAAAAAGGTAAAATTCAATGAATATTCCATAGTTATTCTTTCCTTAATGCAAAAAATACCATTATTTTTGTAGATACACACGGGAAACTGAATCCAATAAAAATTAAAAATTACGCCAAGAAAATACTATACGGTGATGTTTTCTCTATAGATCATCTGAATATTTATCATCCCGAGAATTCACCACGTAATGGTAAATTCTGTAATTCTTTATCTGTATTTTAGAACAATACACTCCTTTCATATATAGTTGTACAGTACCTCGTACTTCGAATTTAATTGGTTTCTGGAGAGCGCATCAATTTTCCCAATTAGAAATAATGGAAAATGAATTAATCCGAATCGATAAACTTAGATAAAAAATACACATAATTTACGGTAAAAATAGTACAGTTAAATGCCCTAAATAATAAATTACAACACGAAAATACTGTCGACTTCGACATCTTGACAAGATGGCCGCCAACTTGGGAGAAAAACAGACTGCGTTATGCAGTAAGCGCAGTTCGAACATAGAAGCATCGTTCGAATTCCGGGTCTAATTTCGAATTTTGCGTTCGAACTCTGAAACGTTCGAAGTATGAGGTAACAACGTATTTTTATATAGAATTTTTTGGTATGTATTGTACATTTCATTCCTAATTTTTATGAATGAAATTTACGGAGTGTGACTGAAAAGAAACGAGAATTATTTTTAAAATGATTTAATTCTTTTATATACAAAAATTTTAATGAATACACTTTCGTATACTCTATGGCTAAGTGAGCTACGAGCCATGAAAGTCAATCTTGTGGTCCAGCAAATGCCCCTCATGATTGATTTTTATGGCTTATGACACTTTCAAAACAAAACCGATTGCAATCAAATTTGTAGTAGAATAAGAAACTTACCTCCTATGCCAACAATACTCATATAGCTGGCATAATAATACAAAGGGGGATGTCTATTCTTTCTGTAGACCGGATGGCCGCTGTGGATTAGTTTTGCTCATCCTTCAAGTTGCCTGAGTTTTTTAACGGTACTAGTGGTCTTCCGGACTTTACACGAAGATTATGAGGCTCCTCGGGATTCTGTTGTATGGTGACTACTGTATCCGGTTAAAGAAGCTGCAATATTTTCCAGGATCTTCAGGATGATAGGTAGGTTTACTGGATAATTCAGTTCATGTCTTTCAGCTTCTGGTCTATCCTAGAACAATGGGCCTTTCAAATCTCAGTGCTGGATAACTTTTCTACACACTCACGTCTGCATAACCACAAACCATACACTCATCACTTCTACCCAACTACAATTATTCTCGTTTCTTTCTAGTCACTTTTTACATAAGATTTCATGTATTATGTAAACAAAAATTAATGTTTCATTGTAATTTATTGTTTGATAATCCATCAAAACTTAATATTTAAATTCTTTCCATTGTTATTTTGTTTCTTTACGTTTAGAAAACAGAAGGAATTGCAAATCAGAAACCGAACATGAGAAACCGGATAAGAAATTCGTAAATAAAATAATCGATCCAGATGGTAAGTTCAGTAACGCATTGTCTTCATTTAAAACATATAATTTACTTTCAAAAATTTACTTATAATCAATCCTAATTTTATTTCTCGTTAGTGTAAGTGTTAGCAATTGTATACTCCTTAAAAAATTGTACACTGCAAAATACAGCCATTATACAAAATCTATTTCTGCACATAAAGGGCATGCTTGAAGATACGTGAGCATAATCTTATAGATGGAGCGAAATGAGCAAGTACTGTATCTTAAAATAACTGCAAGTCTTTTAATACAACTCGGAAGGGTGCACTTGGAACCTTTTGAAGTTCGTGTTGGGCTCTTTACGGTTCAAAACTGGGCAATTTCTTTACCTAATAAAAGCTTTCAACGTGGAAAACCATCCTTTTATCACTTATCTTCATCGCCAAACCACCATCTTTAATCATGATAGCAGTGCAACATTCAGAACTTTCAGGATCTCATGTGCCACCCCTAAGACACATCGTGTACTTGGAATCTTTAGTGCTGCACTTACTTTCTGGTATCTATATCTCAAACCCTGCATGCTGTCATCAGTTTAATGCAATACCTTACGGTCCCAAGTTTCGTAGTCACGGTTGCAACACGTAACAGCTGAGACTGCATCCCATTAAATTCAGCTTTCGGCTCTTGGTACCTGTTCATTGTTGCAATTAAATATCACCAGATAGTTACTGTATCCGTACATTTATATTTAATTCACATTGACACAGAAAATTTAATTCACATTTTTAAATGCACTTTTCAAATATGTTAGAAATTATATAATTTAATCTTTCTATCATTTCAGGTACATTGCAGAAATGCAGAGGAACACTTATGAATTATTACAAGACTTATAATGCCTACATGAGGTCTTTGTTCTGGGAAGAAAAAAGAAAAGATTTTCCGGTTAAAGATTATTACGTGGATTTAAAAGTACAAGAAGCCGAACTTTTAGGCATTAAGACAGAGAAAACTGTTCAATTAGAAGACATTTTTTCGTATACTTCAGATAACCACGTAAACATTCTTATGACGGGATATCCAGGTTATGGAAAAACCACTCTATGCAATAAAATAGCATACGATTGGGGGAATAACAGCTCCTCAGTGAATTACGTTAGTCACTTTTACATGGTCGTGGTTGTTGTTTTAAGAGAATTGAGAGGAAGGAGCGTGAGTGATGCAATTTTACGCACCATAAACAAAAACGCAATGGTAGAGGTGAAGGAGAAAATAAGGAAAAATAACCTGAATTTATTGGTTATTTTAGATGGATACGATGAGATTCTAGATAAAAGATCGATCGTACAGTTCATTAAGAAAGATTCGTTTGACATTTCTGTTCGGATGACGATCCTTGTCACCAGTCGACCACACGTTGCAGAAGGCATAAGGGAATACATGAATCTGAGATTCTCTATCGAAGGATTTACTCCAGAACAACAAGAAAAGTACATCAGAAACGTTTTTAAAGTCAGTCAGAACACGGGAGATAATATAGTCACGTTGTTGAAGAGCAACCAGTTTTACTCTACGTTGGCACTATGTCCATTGATGTTACACTTTCTCTGTTGTCTACATCGATATAAACGGGTAGAAAATATAAGAAGAATGACAGATTTGTACATCGAAATATTTCGTCTAAGTATCAAAAGATACCAAAGAAAAACGAATAAAGCTGTCAATTTAAAAAAGGGTAGATATTTTTACGGAGAAGATTTATTGATCAGGCTGGGAAAATTATTTTATACCAAACAAAAAAATTCACCGTTTATAAAAGTATCAGACGAACCACAACAGAAAATAACAGAAGATTGTTTGAAGGAATGTTTTCCTATCGAAGAAGAATTGAATTTTATTCTTGGTATTGACATTCTTGTACAATCCTACGATATAAATGATGATACTCCGTGCTTCGAATTAATGCACAGAACATTTGAAGAGTTTCTTGTTGCACTGTGCTGTTGCGACGGAACCACGTTAACTGTTTTGCATTTCTTTTACGATAATCGTTACTTTTTCCCAAAAATCTTTCCATTGAAAAACTATTGCACATTGTTTTACTTAGGTTTACTTGGAAACCAACCAATGAAAGATTTTTTTGAAGGTTGTTTGGAGTATAATCTTTATCCTCTGCAGTTTGCAATTGAAATGTATCACGAGATCGAAAACGAAGAGAACAGAAAAATATTGTGTAAAAAAATAAAATGCTATCTAACAACCAAGAGTACCGTCGATTACAGCAAATTACCTTTGTTGTTAAGTCGAATATACTTTTTCTTAGATAAGGACGACAATTACGAAAGCATGCTTAAGAAATTCAAGGAGTTACACGAGCATTGTCAGCATAGGGAACGAACCGAAATTTATATCTTTATCAGAGCAGAAAATACTTTATTGCTTGGTAGAATGTCACAAGAAATCAATCGTCTTCGTGTACAATTGCAATTTTTGCAACGTTTACTAACCGAAATTCAATGGAAGAAATTTAAGATTTATTTCTATGGTTTATTGCAGATTTCTTTCTACGATGAGAAATTTCGTGATATTCCAAATGACTTTATATTCCCTTGCTGCATTCTAGTGTTTTTCAAGAACATCGAAAATCCTGCAAAAGTATACAATATAAACAAATTGCAAGAAGGAAATAAAGATTTAGTGGCAATAAGATTTCATTCAGAATTCGATAAAACGAACTTCTTGCTAATTTCTCAGCATCAGTTTTATAATTTAAGACCTTTTATTAAATTATTTCCAGAAATGTCTGAGATTCTTGTTGAAATTTACAATGGCAGATTCTCGTGTAATGCTAATGTATAAAACTTTTCCAATTGTTCGATTAAGTATGAGGATTCAAATACAATATCGTGATATGTGAAACACGTATTTAAGAACCTCTGTGGATCAGCAAGTCACCTTGAATTGCCATTTAAACACTAGTTTATAAACATATCTCTTCATTAAATTTCACATAGATTCACTATGATGATGTGTGGAATCTGGGCCTTTTAAAACACAAAGGCTCGAGGGCCATTGTCCATGGCACACTTAGCTCTTTCTGTTTAAATGTTCGAGTTCTTTGAATGAGGAACGTTTGCTATAAAAAATATATATATAATAATTTAAATTATTTTTAAACAATCATTTATTGTTAATTAAAAATATGTATTATTCAGATAATATAAATAAATTTACATAAAGAATATTTTGTTTGCATTTTATAGATTTGAAACTATAGTGATTTGTAAAGTAAGGTGTTCAGGGTGTTCCGTAAGGAAGTGTTAATATTTTTCAGCATGTTCTATAGATTTGGAGATCAAAAACGTCCTAAAAACAACCTTTCAAAGGCATTGTTTCAGCGCTAGAAGAATTTAATAGAGTATCCATCCCTTAAGATGCTGCTCTGATACACTGCTATGCCTCAAACTCGCTGCTCTTTACCTTATTACCTTCAGAACCATGCGCTTTGCAAAACTATAAGGTTCGTTTGATTTCTTGGCAATTTAGTACAGCATAAAAGCTAAAAAGCAGTGAGATTGAGGCTTTTTTGCGGCATAGCTACTTTAAACTTTTCTAACGCTAAAACAATGCCTTTGAAAGGCTGTTTTTGAGGACAGTTTTTGGATCCCAGACCACTAAAACAAGCTGTAAAATATTGACACTTCCTTATGAAACACCATGGTTCATTATGACATCGATGTTTATCATTCTTCCACTAAATAAATGTAAAAATCATAATCTTTTCTGCTTTAAAACAATTACAACTTTACAAATCGAAGAAGGTTGGGTACCATTATCTTCAGTGTCTTACATAACTTTAAAATAATACATCATAACAACTCGGGGAAAATCCTGATATAAGGCTGTAAACTATCAAACAGATCTTTACGTATTAGTAAAGATCTACAGTTATTATCTTCTACATAAAATTTCAAGGCAATTAAATCCATATCCCATAATCTTATTTCTTCTCTCGCCTCTGTCGGTATTTGTGCAGGATTTTCAATACATCTGAAAAATTTAACTGAAATCCAAGGAAACGCATTTACTCCGGTACTTAATATGAGTGGATTAAACACATTAATTTTTTCTATATATACAACACCACAGAAATATATTTTAAGTTTATTCCATTTGTGATTAATAATAGAATCTCTAATGATCTCTATTTGTCCATTACACTGGTTAATTCCCCAAGGACGTGGAGGTAGTAAGTCGTGAGGTTTCACGTCCAGAAATATAAATATTTCTAATTGATGCGAAGGTTTAACTAGTCCTTGCAGCCACCTAAATGTCTTAACAAGCGTTTTATAAGAATTGTAATCTCTATAAGACTCTATCATGCAGTATAATTGAGAGAATGAATCTGGTAATATTTCATCATGGAACCTTTCAAAGCCTACGAAGAACTTCTTCATTTTCTTCGAAAGTATTGTCTTATTGTCTTCATTCTTGATTTCTTTGTATATTTCAACAGCAATCTGTAACGGAAAAACAAGTTTCGTGAAGTAATTTAAACAATATTCTGGAATTTTATCACTTTCGTATAGACCTATGTAGAATGTAATAATATAGTAATTGATATTATTATCTTCAGGAATGATACTAGAGTAATCATTGGCACATTGAGAGAATAACACTTCAGTGTTCTTGTAAAGGTAAAGAGCAATAAGAAATTCTTTGAAGCTTTTATGAAAATCATCAAAATATTCAATATCATTATCAAAACACTGAACGAGAAGCTCCAGACCAAGAATAAATTTAATTTCTTCGTCATGGGGAAAGAATTCTTTTAAATTATCCAATGTAATCCTTCGTTTCTTCTCGAAAAGACGGCGGAATTCTAATTCAGTATATATATTTTTCTCATAGAATAACTTTCCCAATCGAACTAAAAGGTCTTCCCCATAAAAATACTTTCCTTTCTTCAAGTGGAGACATTCACCATTCTTTTTCATAAATCTCTTGATAAGTAATTGAAGTATACAAATATATAAATCTGTTTTCCTTTTTATATTTTCTAAGTAATCGTTCTTATGCAAACAACATAACAAATGTAGCATTAATGGGCATTTGGATAACGTAGAAGAGAAATAATTTCCTTCTATTATAGACTGAAGATCGTGTATTTCATATTCTAATTGTTTTAAAATTAATTTGATGTATTTTTCCTGTTCTTCGGGTAGAAATCCTTTAAGAAGAAATCGTGAATTGATAACCTCCCTTATTTCTTCAGCAGCATGAGGACGACTTGTAACAAGAATCGTCATATTTCGTGAAATATCGAATGAATCATTTGTTATGAACTGTAATATCGAACTTCTATCCATAATTTCATCGTATCCATCTAAAATAATTAATATATTTAAATTAGCTTTCCATATTCTCTTCTTCACTTCTACTTCTTGATTTCCACAAATTGCTTCTAGAGTTGCATCCATTACACTTTTTCCCTGAAGTTCCCTTAATGTCAGTGCAATAACAAAGTCAAAATGGCTTAAATAACTCAACTCAACGGCCCAATCGTACGCAATCTTCTTGCATAATGTAGATTTACCATAACCTGGATCTCCAAACACTAGAATGTTTCTATGTCCATCACTAATTTCCTGAAATATATCATTGATGTTAACAATGTCACCAATTGCATTTCCTAAGTAATCTGTTTCCTGCAGCTTCAAATCTACATAATAATCCTTTAAAGGAAAGTCTTTTCTCTTGTGATCCCAAAATAAAGATCTCATATAAGCATTGTATGTCTTGTAATCATTCTTCAGACGTCCTCTACATTTCTCGAATAATTCTGAAAATATTATTGGGTATTAAATTTATACATAATAAACTGTTTAAAAGGAAAGTTTATTATAAAATAAAGTTAATTAATTAATTAAAAATCTATATTACAAAGCATACCATTTTCTTCTATCAAAGATCCTTCTTCAGATATAATTGACTGCACTTGTTTCTCAAGTTGTAAGTTCGATTCCTCGTTAACTGTATAACGTTAAATTCAGTTAAGGTTTTAAACTTAGTGTATTAATATCAAAATCAGATTATTACTTACACCTACTTGTGGTATTCTGGTTTTGGTAAACATGTAAATAATATTTATCTCCATAATGAATTTCCTTCGCATACTTTGCTAATACTTGTGGACCTTGTTCAGGAACTACATTGTTATATTGTTTCAATGACATGGCAAGTTGTGATCTATATAAAAAATATATATTACATTTAGTATTTGATCCTTATTGTCTTTATATTATACAGAAAGCAACACATGGGCAATCTGCATAAGGCACACCTTATGCAGATTGCCCATGTGTTGCGTTGCCTTATCCCATAAATTCATTCTAACAAGGCTAAAACCACTTATTTTCAACTTGTAACTTCGTTGTATCTTTTAATAATTATAATATCCACAATTAAGGAAATATACATTGTTTATATCTAAAATAATCTCTTTTCTTTACGGCTTGTTACGATGCCATTTTTATCTAATAAGGTATCATTAACGCCCTGCAAAGTTTAAAATTTAGTAATCAACAAGAGACAAAAGCAAACACTTAAGTTAAATTTGTGTTTTTCTACATGAAAAAATGGTTAATAAATAAATTTATAAAGTTTAATTAAGCGATCCTGAAAGTCCAGTGCAGTATTTCAGAGCCTCAATTCCAGCTGTACGAGTATTGTCACATAGAATATCGAAAGTAAGTGTTCTTACGTGAAAAGTAGCTTAAAAGCGTTAATTTGGGGCAATAAGTCATAGGAAATAAGGAAAATAACACGTAAATCGACTAATTAATCACTTAGCTTACCTTAAAATGTATTTATATTGTCCTCAGGAGGAAACGTTACGACCTACGATACATAGTTTAAACGATGACACACCACACTACAATCAGAACACGTGACAGGAACCGATAAGGAATCACGTGCTCGTTATTGCAGTTCTCTCGCGCAACAGAAACGGGATAAAAAAAAAACAATGTATCTTCGAGGGCTGTGTAATTTATTAATAATTATCACATTTAATTATTAATACTGTATATAATTCATTGGAACAGTTAACACCAGACACTGGGGTATTAAATATTTAGTACATACAATATAATCATTGCGAGAGAGGTCGTACCTATGGGGATTATGAGGTGATTAATTACCACCTAAATAAAGGCCTACAGCGGGTTGTGGAATAGAAAAGTACGTCACAAGTTTTCAGATTTACCCATGACCTTCATTTATATTACCTGTTCTTCTGCGGGGAATCGGGGGTTGTTTCTTAATTATTTCTACTCTGTGAGATCGTAAGTTCGGACAGGGCTACAATGCGGCAGTTGGGTGGTGAAGGACTGAACCCAACATATTCGGAAGGACCACTTCAAAAAGTTTCCTGGGGATCCGAGCGATTTGGCCTAAGGGAATGTTTACAAGTTGAAGTTGGCTGATGGGATAAGGCAACACAAAAATATGGGCGATCGATCAAACTTGAGTGCATCACGAAAGGATATTTTATGGCTAAGCATCATTGAAGCACTCATTTAATTAATGTTTATGCTCTTTTAATCGGAGGATTACATTCAAAATTAATAGTTTATGACTTCTAGTATAAATTGTCTCGTTTTATTTCCTCTGTTTCGTGCTTGAGGACCTTTTTTTCATATCCATTATCAGTTTTTCCAAGCTGGATGCCACGGTCTCAACATATTTGACAAAGAGAACACCTGAAAAATTCCCGAGTTTGAATCCGGATCCCTCAAACATTTTTACAACTATTTGAATATGGTGGTCGAAAGCTGAAGATGTAAGGCAATTTTAAGGCATTTGAATAAGTGATTGAAATGTGACTCATTGTATTGTCCAAACTTAATAAAGAAATTTATTTCAGTAAAAAATACAAATCATCTTGCTACAGTAAGTAAAAAGAACAGTTTCCTTAACAGCAAGTAAATTATACAAAGATAATTGAAAGTAATAAATCATAATTACAAACAGTTTAATTCTATTTAAGCCCTAAAAATATTCACGTATCATATTTTAATAATAAATTGAATTTACAATACAATATAATGTCATAAAATTATTAAAAGCAAAGAAAGAATCTATCATTCTAACATTTTAACTTCCATCTTCAGAAGACATTTTTATACAGTCGACCCCCTATAACACTGTTGATAATTCCGTTTTATATGAATTCTATGTTGTACGAGTCACTTAGATTTTACAAATACGTGAGCCGTTCACAGCCCGGCAGACGTATTTGTAAAATCTAAGTGACTCGTACAACATAGAATTCATATAAAACGGAATAATCAACAATGTTATAGGGGGGTCGACTGGTACATCTTTTGAAGTACTCTTTCGTTGCAGTTTTCCATAAACACAGTGAACTCTCTCTAATCCGGTTTTTCCTTGCCAGAGTAAACCTTAAAAGATATCCTTATCGGATTACTGAAATTGTATATGGGCATAAATACAATGAATGATGTGACTGCCGCCATAAAATAGCGATTCTTTTGGAGGCGTGTGTGACAGGATTAACATTTTCATTGAAACGATCATACTGGAGAGTTTGCCGGTTAACTGAGAGGTTAAATAATCGATTGCCGGATTAGCCATAGATTTTACAGGTTTAATTTAGTAGAAGATTTCACCACGCGTAATTCTCTATACTATTTTGAAATCAAAATATCATTCAGAAATGATGGAAAACTCTTATGTAAGGCTGTAAACTTTCGAAAAGATCTTTCTTAACTAAGAAAGACATGCATCTTATGTTTACTTCTGTAGAAAATTTCAATGCCACCAATTTTTCACTCGATTCACGTAATTCATTTCTTTCCGACACGTCTGCAGGGTTTTCAATAGAAGTGAAAAACTTCGCAAATATCCAAGGGAATGTATTTACTCCGGTGCTCAATATGAGTGGATTAATAACGTTAATTTCATATTGGTATACAACACCACAGATATATACTTTAAACTTTTCCCATGTACGGTTAATCACCAAATTGTGAAAGGTTCTAATGACTTCATTATATTTACTTCCATAACCGTTCTCTGAAATTGAAAGTAAATGATACGGCTTTATGTATAGGAATGTAAATATTTCCAAGTGACTTGGATGTGTAACTTGATCATGCAACTCTTCGAATACTCTGAGTGACTGAGAAGCATTGTCATTTTCATTGAAGTTTAAAAAACAATATAATTGCAAACAACTCGATGGTAGTGTTCCACAATACAAAGGAAATACTTCTTCATTTTCTTCCAGACCCTTACCTTATTTTCTTTACCTTTAATTTCTTTGTATATCTCCGTTGCAACTTTCAACGGAAAAATAAGTTTGTCTAAATAATTTAAACAATTTTCCGGTATTTCATTACTTCCATAAAGTCCCATGTAGAACATAATAATAGAGAGGTTGCGGCCGACGTTTTCATCGCGAAAATGTGTACGTCGGACGTTCAGCAACGTCTTCCTGTGAGCCTAGAAGTTTGACAATGGCGTTTGGAACGTTAGTAGAATCGTGCTCGACGTTCCAAACGCCATTGTCAAACTTCTAGGCTCACAGGAAGACGTTGCTGAACGTCCGACGTACACATTTTCGCGATGAAAACGTCGGCCGCGACCTCTTTAATATCATAACTAACACTTGTAGACTCTTCGAGAGCAATGTTGTAACCATCAGTAAATTGTGAAAATATTATTTTGGTGTTGTGCCAAAGGTAAAGGGCAATAAAAAAGTCTTTGAAAGTTTCATCTACGAAGTAAAAGTACAAGGAATTACGTTTGTCACGGTACTGAACAAGAAATTCAAGTCCAAGAATAAATTGAAGATAATCGAAATTGGGGAAACGTTTCTCTAAATTATCGAATGTAATCATTCGTTTCTTCTTGAAAAGTAAGAGGAATTTTAAATCTGTGTATACATTTTTCTTATAAAGCAGTTTTCCCAGGCGAACTAAAAGGTCTTCCCCATAAAAATATTTTTTTTTAATGGTGTCATTCGCCGTTCTTTTCCATAAATTTCTTGATAAATAATTTAAATATCAGAACGTATAAATCTGTCTTTCGTTTGATATTTTCTAAATCAACAATACAATGCAGACAACAAAGCAAATGTAACGATAATGGGCGCTTTTGCCTTGGATGTCAGAGAAATAACAAAGTCAAAATGGCTTAAATAACTCGACTCCATATTGCCAAATGCCCAATCGTATGCAATTTTCTTGCACAATGTAGACTTTCCATTCCCTGGATTACCACTAACAAGAATGTTTCTATGTCCATCACTAACTTCCTCAAACATATGGTCGATGTCAACAAAATCGCTTATTCAATTTCCTATATGATCCATTTCCATTAGCTTCAAATCTACAGGATAATAATCCATTTGTGGCATGTTTTCTCTAGTACCCTTCCAAAATGAAGATCTTTGAGTGGCATTGTATATTTCATAATCAAACATGACTCTTTCTTTACATTTCTTGATTAATTCTGTAAAAGAAAAATGATGTAAAGTATGTAAAATGAAATTGTTTAATTACCATTTTCGCAGCACATTTAGATAATTAAAAGACTTAACAATTCACATGATTTACAGGAAGTGTACCTTTAACATCTATTTGGTCTCTTTTGAATAACTTAGAAGAAGAAGTACTTTCTTCCTCAGCAGATGCACTTGATTGCAATTGTTGAAATGATAGTTCCAAAATTTTTAATACTGACGATTTAAAGTACTCCATTTATTCTGAAAAAAGGCGAATAAAACTTTAACACTGGAAAATTGAAGGTATAAGGTCATATACTTCATTCATCAGATAGCTGCGGCACAGTTGCCAACCTTCTATCGTGAAAACTTCTAAAAGAACTTGAAATCCTCTCTAAAAGCTAGGGCCCACCAGTGGCTAAGCGGTATTCGTACCCTGAAAACTGGGAGTTCGGTCGTGGGTTCGCGCCTCGCTCGGAGGCGTTACAGATGTGGAGTTTTCCTGGTTTTCTCCACGTCTGTAACGCCTAAATAGGGGCTAGTTTCCCTTAAAAAGACCTCCCGGAAGGCATCGCCCAAGTGTTGCGTTGCCATAACTAAACAAACAAACCCTAAAAGCTGGAAAAAGTTCCCACTATTAGTTTTTCTCCATACTCCTACTCGTCACTGAAACTCCATTAGCCAATAGGGACAGACTCAAAATTTCCCTGTCTTGATCAATCTCCCAAAATTTAGGGGGAAAGATATATGATAATTTAAATAAACACATTGAATTTAATTATATAAATAATTGGTAAAATCGCGCATTAATTTAAAAACGCCCTATTTCAAACTTTTTCAATTTTCATCTGACATAAACAAATTAATAATATAAATACATTTTATGAATTAAATATGTATTTAATCATTTATAAAATTTCATTTTTTAATTACAAAAATTAAAAATAAAATTAAATTCGATTTATGAGAAAAAAAAATGCAAAAATTGTAGAGGGCGTATGTTGAAGCTGACGTTTTTAGGACGTTGTTGTTTGTCGTCGGATTTACTGCAAGGGAAATGGTTTAAGTTTTTACGTATAAAACTTGCCCTTTTTTAACCGTGAGATATTTATTTTTGTGTGTTTAAAGTATTTTATGAATCGAATATAAGGATAGAAGACTAAACATAAAGAATACAGTCGTAAAGATAAGTTTTCGTTTGGACGATCTAAGCCTAACAAGATGGCGTCGGGAGCGACACAAGATGGTAATTCCTTTTTTTTATATTCTATTCGAATTTTCGAATGTGATGATTAAAATACACCCGTAAATGCACTTTGTAAAGAATATTAAGGACATTTTGATTATAATTAAACGTCTATACTTGAAATTATTTTATAATTGTAAAAGGTGATGAGACAATACAATTGTCAACATTTAATTTAAGGTAGAAGTTCTATATATAAGGGGAGTTTTTTCCTCAACCTCCAATGGTCCAGAAACGAAGACAAGTGTAAATAACAAAATGAATTTATTACCATAAGTTAGGCACAAACATGGT